AAATAAAAGCCTAATTTTACTTGGTTTATTGAATCAGATTCTAATATCTGTTGCCCTTTGATTTCAATCCCTTCAATTTCAAAAGAATTACCAAGTACCAATTATGGCCCAGGAGCTGGGACAATGAAGACCAATGAAGACCACGGCTTTGCGTATGTGCCAGCAAAGCCATGGAGGCCATTTACCTGATGTGCTATTCCATACATAACCCTATACTGTATACTTTATGAATCAATAAAACATTTACAATTTTTAATTATAAACCTGTGTTTTATATCAAAATTACTTCTTGCGTGTATTTTGGGACACCCTATACAAACACGTTTAAAGTACTGTAATGTTTGGGGATGTTTCAGAAAGTTATCTATTAAAACAAATATGAGATCAGAGGATTATGCTTATAGTGAATGGTTACTAAAACTTAGAGATGGTAAACTTGATAGCAGTTTTCATTTAGGAATGTATATTATTGAAATCCCCCATGAAATGATTTGTAATGGAAAATTGTTGTAATGGAAAGCTAGCTTCTATTATTGAAGCTAGCTTTGGAAGTGGTATATATCTAGAAAATATTAAAAATATATATAAATGTGCAATTTTTTGTCCTAAAAATGAGCACGTTTATAAATTAAATGAAGAAATTTTGGATATAATCGATGGAGATTTTCACACCTATTTGAGTGATGATTCCATCCACTCAACAGATGATGCAGAAAAGGAAAATTTTGCCATCGAATTTCTTAATAGTATTACTCCTTCAGGAATGCCGTGTCATAAATTAAAATTGAAAGTAGATGCAATCATCATGCTACTGAGAAATCTTAATAGTAAAAGGGGTCTTTGTAATGGTACTAGACTTATTATCAAAAGATTGTGACCTATCATAATCAAAGCTGAAGTATTAACAGGATCTGTGGAAGGAGAGGTTTTTCTGATTCCAAGAATTGATTTGTCCCCGTCAGACACTGGCCTTCCATTTAAATTAATTTGAAGACAGTTTAACCATGATGCCAGCATTTGCAATGACAATTAATAAATCACAAGGACAAACTCTGGACAGAGTAGGCATATTCCTACCTGAACCCGCTGTCGGAAATGGTCAGTTATATGTTGCTTTCTCTCAAGTTCCAAGAGCATATGACGTTAAAGTTGTAAATACTTCATCACAAGGGAAATTAGTTAAGCACTCTGAAAGTGTTTTTACTCTTAATGTGGTGTACAGGGAGATATTAGAGTAAGTTTAATCAATTTATCAGTCATTGTTTGTATTAATGTTGTTTTTATATCATGTTTTTGTTTTTATATCATGTCTTTGTTGTTATATCATGTTGTTATTGTTTATTTATTAATAAATTTATATATTGCTTTCATATACATTTTTCTTATTTTCTTTAATCTCTGACAGTTCTATTATAGAGAAAAGGTGAATAGCAATATTAAATATTCTAATTAAATCCTTCCAGTGTGCACGAATTCATGCACTGGGCCACTAGTATAATTATAATTAAAGAGAAATGTTTAAAAATGCAACAGAAATTTGGGTTGGAAATTAGCTGCATATAGATTGAGAATCAGGCCAAATCTGGCCTTTTACCAGCTTTCTCAGTAAAGTTTTTTGGAATATAGCTACTCTCATTTGCTTGCATAGTATCTATAGCTGCTTTGCAGCATAAATGGAGAGTTGAGTGATTTCAACAAACTGGTATGCCCACAAAGCTGAAATCATTTACTATCTAGCATTTGATAGAACACATTTTTGACCCTGATATAGGTTATAGAATTCACCAGAATGCATGAGATTCTAATAGTTTTACTATGGGAAATTCTATTATTTATTAGAATTTAATATAGCATTTTATTGACTATTATTATGATATTGACATATTTACAATATATTAATATTTAAAATGAACATATAAAGGACCTCCATGATCTTAAATAGCTCTTGGATCACCAAGAAATATTGAATTATTTTGTGTATAAAAATACTGTTAAATGTGTTGTATTGTTTAGATATTTAGAAATTAATACTCCTTTTGTGATTTATATTTGACTCCTTATTAACATAATATTATATTAAGAATAAAACTTCATTTTCTATCTATGCCAAAATATATATTTTAAGCCATATGAAGTTCTTATTTTGTTAAATTTTCATCAGTTAGTGAAAAGTAAATAGGATTAGTGGTATAAATTTTAGGTTCAAACTTGTGTGGTCAAAGGAGTGTGGGCAGCTGTTTGTATTTTATAGGAAGAGTATCCTTAAGTATCCTATCTAATAGAAGAGAAACATGGTAATTAGCCGTACCTCCGCTACCCTTCCCATTGGCTAATCAGGGAGATATGCAAATTAACTGCCAACCAAGATGGCGGCCAGCAGCCAGGCAGCT